ACTTTCTTGCCCAGACTGGCTTCAAACCATCATCTTCAGATCTCAGCCTCCTGAGCCAGTGGCATCCAGCTCTTTCTTCCTTTCCTCCCTTCCTTGCTTCCTTCCCTCTCTCCTTCCCTCCTTCCTCCCCCTTCTCCTCCTTCCCTTCCTTCTTTCCTTTCTCTTTTCTTCTTTTTTTATTTCTTCCTTCCTTCCTTCCTTCCTTCCTCTCTCTCTCTTTTTTTTCTTTATCTCTTTCTCTTTTTCTTTGTTGGTTATGGGGCTTGAATTTGGGCACTGTCCCTGAGCTTTTTGTTCAAGGCTAGCACTCTACTACTTTGAGCCACTTTGATTTTTTTGGTGGTTAACAGGAGATAAAGAGTTTCACTGGGGGCTGGGAAGGTGGCTCAGTGGTAGAGTGCTTGCTTTGCATGCATGAGGCCCTAGGTTCCATTCCTCAGCACCACATAAGCAAAAAGAAAAAAGCCGGAAGTGGCGCTGTGGCTCAAGTGGTAGAGCGCTAGCCTTGAGCTGAAGAGCTGAAGGACAGCGCCCAGGCCCAGAGTTCAGGCCCCATGACCGGACCCCCCCCCCAAAAAAAAAAAAAAAAGTTTCACTGACTTTCCTGTCCAGGCTGACTTTGAACCATGATCCTCAGATCTCAGCCTCCTGAGTAGATAGGATTACAGGCATGAGCCACCAGTGCTTAGCTCCTCTTTCTTTATTACTGAGATTCTTTCTCTTTTTTTTTTGTCAGTTGTGGGCCCGAACTCTGGGCCTAGGCGCTGTCCCTCAGCTCTTCAGCTCAAGGCTAGCACTCTATCACTTGAGCCACAGCGCCACTAGCTCCTCTTTCTTATAAAGATATTTGTGAGGGCTGGGAAGGTGGCTCAGTGGTAGAGTGCTTGCCTTGCATGCCTGAGGCCCTGGGTTCAATTCCTCAGCACTACATAAGCAAAAAGAAAAAATCCAGGAGTAGTGCCACGCCGACTCCAGTGGAGTCTGCTTAGCATGGGAAACCATCTATCAGACCTAAGATAGGGGCTTCAGAGACCTATCTCTGAGTTTTGGGACTTCACCGAAGTCTACCTCAGAGAATGGGGCTTTACAGAAACCTATCTCCAAGTTTTGGGACTTCACCGAAGTCTACCTCGGAGAATAGGGCTTCTAAGAGGCCTACTCGTGGAAAGGCTGGCAAGCCCCTGGGAAAGATGTGTTTCTGCCTTTCTTTTCCTCACTGTATAAGAGTGCCTATTAATCTTTTACTGTTTCTGCTGCTCATTGTGCTTACTCATTGTCAATGTTCCCTTATTCAAAGCTCTTTCTTAAGAGTGTTGACGACTCCAATATCTGATGAATGTCTCAAAAATATGACTAACTCACCAGAGTTAAGTGCTACCCTGCAACCCCTCTTATGAAGGCTAGTAGACAAGTTATAAGCAAATATAAAAGTATTGGGGGTTTCACAAAGTCACTCCAGCAGAAGGAATTGTAAGAAATTTACAAGAAGCTGTAGGCGCGGCTAGAACAGAAGGAATGTATGGCAATTGCTGAGATAACTACTTAGGAGAAAGAACTTCCTGGTACTCTCATTTACTGAGACTTGCTAGATCTAGGCCTCCGTGACCTTACTATTAAAGAAGGAACAGGAAAAATCTTATGGGATAATTAAGGCCTCTATAGAAATAAGGTAATGGTTAGTTGGTGACAAACGTCGAAACCCATTATATTTCTTAGAGATAAGCCGGAAACAAGTGCCTTTCAGGCGACCAGCTGGTGACCACCTAAGAATGAAGCCTTGCAGCAAGATTGTGTAACCTTTTGCCCCTTTCTTATGAAGACTTTTGCTATAAAAGTTTGTTATCCTCTGCATTAAATCGCACTCAGCACTCAGCATCCACTCCTAATGTGTGTGAGTTGTCTGTTTGCCATCTCCCCATCCTATTCCAGGTTCCTCCCCTAGGTATCCTCCGTCGTCCCGACAGAACCCGGTCCGCGGCAGAGTAGCACTGTGGCTCAAGTGGTAGAGTGCTAGCCTTGAGCTGAAGAGCTGAGGGACAACACCCAGGCCCAGAGTTCAGGTCCCATGACCGGATCCCCCCCCCCCCAAAAAAAAAAGGATATTGGTGATTGCATTTAGGGCTATCCCAATAATCCTAGATATTTTCTTCATCTAAGAAATTATTTAATTAATCATATCTAAAAGACTTTTTCCCCAGATAAGGTAATAGTTACAGGCTCCATGAACTAGGACTTGCTTTTTTGTTTGTTTGTTTTTGTTTTTGCCAGTCCTGAGGCTTGAATTCTGTGCCTGGGCATCATCACTGAGCTTTTTTTGCCTAAGGCTAGCACTCTACCACCAGCCACAGCGCCACTTCTGGCCTTTTTCTTTTTTTTACTTCTGGCTTTTTTTGTGTATGTGGTACTAAGGAATTGAACCCAGGGCTTAATGTATGTTAGGCAAGCACTCTACCACTAAGCCACATTACCAGCCCACAGGACCTGGTATTTTCTTGGGGGGGGGGGGGTTATCAGCCTGTCACAATTTACATTTCTATTTGCCCATTATGAACTCAAACTATGTATTGAGATCTATGGAAATCAGTATATACTCCTTCAATCACAATATAAGATAAACCTCACTCTTTGAGCTTAAAAGAATTATTTTATTTAGCTTGATGCAGTGGCATGGGCCAGCCATCCAGCTGAGATTGGGAGGCCAGCCTGGGCAGAAAAGTCTATGAAATTCTATTTCAAAGGGAGAATCAGGCATCATGTTGCATGTATGTCCTTCTAACTATGACAAGAAGTATAAAATAGATGGATTGGGATACTAGCATGGGCCTGGAGGGAGGGGGAAGGGAGACACTATCTTAAAAATAGTAAGAGTAAAAAGGGCTGGAAGTATAGCTCAGCAGTAGTGCACCTTCCTAATAATCATGAGGAACTGAATTCAAACTTCAGTACCACTATTTTTATTTTACCACACAAAGTACTTAAATTAGGCGGGTGTTGGTGGCTTACACTTGTAATCCCAGCTACTCAGGAGGCAGTGATTTGAGGATCACGGTTTGAAGCCAGCCTGAGTAGGAAAGTCCATGAGACTCATATATTCAATTCGCTACCAAAAAGAAAAAAGAAAAGCAGAAATGGAGTTATAGTTCAAGTATAAGAGTGCTAGCCTTGAACAATAAAGCTCAATGACAACACCTAGGCCCTGAATTCAAGCCCCAGGACCAGCACACAAAAAAAGAAAAGTGCTTAAATTGTTTCAATTCAGTGATGAATAAAAGTACTGCATATAGGTTTTAATGTGCTTATGCTATTAAATGATTGGGAATACATGTAATTTGAACATGTATTCAGAACTGTTTTCTGAAAACATTTCTCAGAAAATACAAATTAGATCTGCTGTATAATTGAACCAAGATCCGTTAATTGCAAGTGGACAAAGGTAGGTTTTAGTTCATTATGAGGAACACTCAAGAATAGATAATAGGAGAGTCCTCCTCAAATGAACACTTCCAGTTCTGGAAGTGTTAATGAATATGCAAAGGCCCTCAGGAACATATGCAGAAAGGAAACATTCTGAGACTAAATTCTCAGATACAATCAAAAGGGTATTTCATAAAACACATCTCTTGAATGATCAATTCTAGATAAATATAACTAATTTTATCCTTCTCCAATCCATTTATAATTATAGCCAGAGCAATGTTTTTAAAGGTCAAATCTGATTAGGTTACTCCCCATGGATAACATTCTGCACAAAATCCCTTAATTTGACTAAAGGCTCTTTCTGTATTGATCCCAGACCTCCTTGTTGGTCTCATGTAGTATTCTTTTCCTATCTACATTCTAGTCACACCTTCAATTCCTCAACTTGGATGCTCTTTCCTGCTTCAAAGCCTCTCCTTTCCCCCTAGGATACTTCCTTCTCCAAGACAACTTTCCCAGCAGCATGTTACACATAGCTTCACATGCACATCTGCATAATGCTCTGAACTGCTTCAAAGTGAAAGCTTTCTTTGTATAATTGAATGCGACTTTTCCATTGCTAAAAATGTAAGCTGGGGAAAGAGACATTGTAACTTGTTCAGCACAGAGTCTGGCATTTTCATAAATGTGTTGAATGAATGGATGGACTGCCTTAAAAAAATTGGAAACACAAAAGATGTCAGAAGAAAAAGATGCTCATCTAACACGAGACTTCTAGTTGCAAAATTTCGGAAATATCAGTATGGTTTCTTGGGACAGTCTGTCTTATGAATGAAAGGCCAGCAGATGAATGGGGGAAAAAAGTAACATTGAACCAAAGAGGTCCATCAAGGTGGAGTCAGCATGGGAAATAGAAACACTGGGGAGCCTGGCCATACTGGAAAGATGTATCATTCATTCAGTCATTCATTCATTCTCTCCTAACTACTTATAGCCTAGCACTCAGGGTGAGCGTTTAAAGGTAGTGGAGTAGTAGTCCCTGTCTTAAGGCCTACATCTTACACAAGACAGACAAATCTTTAGCAAACTCCACTGAGCGTGCTAAGCACAAAGTGTGATGAAGAAGGCACGCCGGTGCTGTGGGAAGTATGGAAGATGGGGGGGGGGGGGAAGTCACCCGGGTTGAAGGTGAGACCTAAAAGGCAGGAGCATGAGTTGGCCCCTGGGCAAAGTTCAACAGCCAGGATTTGGGGTGTCACAGAGGAACAGAAACAGATTCGAGGGCTCCTGGCAGATCTGGCTGACCACGATCCCTGCGGTGAGAGGTGATTCGTTCTGTGACCAGTCCCTGGGCACGAACGAGAACACTCTGTACTGAATTCCACTGGGCTTGTCCCAGATGCCTGGCTCCCTACCTCAAGTGCCAAGGAGTGGCGGCCTTCTGCGGCTGCGCGAGGCTGCTGGAAGGCGCCGGGCTCACCCAGCTCCACCCGGGAAGAGGCCGGAGGAGCCCCGCCACCCTCCACCGTCCGCAAGCTCCGCCCCCACGCCGTCCCAGGGGGCGTCGCGACCACGTGACCCGGAGTGTGACGTAGGAGGAAGGAGACGCCATTAGAGGGAGGCGGAGAGGGAACGCTCTTCGCCTTTCCTCCCGGTGTTTGACGTGGTGGCTGAGGGCTCTTCATTTCCCGGACTTCTTTCTGTCTCGGCCCTTCCAGGGCCTTGTCGGAGGAGGAGCGGGAGCCTGCGGCCGGGTGGGCGGCGCGGCGGGGCGGGGTGAGCGGGCCGCGGCCCTGACGGCGCTGTCGCGGCTGTGGGGAGCTCGGCGCGGCTCTCGGGCTCGGGCGGCCGGGCAGCGTCGGGGATGGCTGCGGCCGGCGGCGGGGCGGCGGCGGCGGCGGCGGCGGGCCGAGCCTACTCGTTCAAGGTGGTGCTGCTGGGAGAAGGCTGCGTGGGGAAGACGTCGCTGGTGCTGCGCTATTGCGAGAACAAGTTCAACGACAAGCACATCACCACTCTGCAGGTGCGGAGCCCGGGGAGCGGGAGGCGGCGCCTCGGGGCGGGGCGGGGGCCCCCGCCCGACCTGCGGGCGGCCGGGAGGACGCCGCCGCCCAGGGCCCTCCGGCCCGTCCCCCCGGCGGTCCGGGCGCCGGTCGGGAATTGGCCTTGCACACGTAACTAACACGCGCGGGTCCGGGCAGGCTGTAGACGTTCCGGACAGGTGGTGGGGAAGGGAGTGGAAGGGCCCCGAAAAGTCCCAGGGCTCCCAGCGGTTGCTGCGCACTCGGGGGAGCCCCGATCTGTGGGCTGGATTTTTCCCCTTTGCTGCACTTCCGCGCGGGCCCTCGGTGTTAGCCACCCTGAAAAGCCCCCACCCCACCCCACCCCACCCTCTTTTTTTTTTTTTTTTCCTTCTCTTCAGAATTCAGAATTGACTGCGGGTCTGAATTTGCGAACTCGATGATTTGTAACTTCCAGCGCTTACTGATGACTAAGTGTTTATGCAAGTTCCATTTTTTTTTTTTTTTTTTGGTCCTGTGTTGGAATCACCGGAACGGCAAAAGAACCCAGTCTGGAGGGATTTTGAAATGACCGCTTGCTGGTGCGGGTCACCACGCAGTTTCATTGCAGCCTGCGTGGGTCTGACTTGTGGTTCAGCGAGGTCGGTCCACCCATGTTGAAACGTCATGTGAAAACTGTCCAGCAGTTGGTCCCCAAAATTTAATCCTCCGCTGCTGCTGTTCGTTTTCCTTACCTGTCATAAAGGGCTGTATTTCTCCTACAGTTAAATTGGCAAAAGGTGAAAAATCATTGAGAACCAGGCACTCGAGGGAATTACTTCTTCCCTCTGCTAAAAGAAACCAGTTGAGATAGGAGAAATTTATACCACTAATCCAGCTTGATCAGTTTACTCAGAGGCAGTAACATTAAGTGGACTTCTGAGCTTGGTCATCTAGATTCATTTTAACTAGCTGTGTGATCCTGGGTAAATTACTTAATGTCTGTGTCCCATGTGTATTTTTTTCTGTTAAAATGGCCATGATAGTATCTAGCGCAGAGGATTGTCAGGATAAGTTGTGTAAAAGCATTTAGGGATGTGATTATGTGTAAGCAGTGTAGTCCAACTTGCACAAAAGAGCTTAATAAGTAATTGTAACACGGATGCTATTTAATGGAATGAATAATCTCCCAATCTTGTGACATTTCATGTTCAGTGCTATTATTAAACTAATGGGCCTAGAATTTACAAAGATGCTCTGGTTCAGATTCCATGTTCTATTTTACTCCTCTGTTTTTAATCCTATATAAAGCATAATATCTGAAGAAGTGAAGATCATAGCACCAAAGGTGCAGGTGAACATGTAAACAAGCTCAACTAAACTCAGGTCTGACTAGATTTAGAGCAATTAAATTATCTCCTAGCTTGTTATATTGTAACTTAAGTTACATTGAGTCTGATTGTTGTTAAGCAAATCATTTTTCATTTACTTTCATTGATATTTTAATGGCTTTTAAAAAAGAGATACTTTAATACTACAAAATGAAAGTTAAATGCCTGTGACTTATTTCTAAAACATCTTTAAAACAGCAAAGTAAAGATTTTTAAATATGTAGGAGAAGCCATTGCAAACTACACTAGAGGGGCTAAAGTAAGATCTCCAGTATCAGAAACATAGCAGTCCTGATTTTTCTATTTATGTAAGTTATCATGAAGTGTCTAAATTATATTATAGAATTGAAGATTTTGTTGTACACCAAAGTATGGAAATGACACTCTAATCTCATTCTCTTAGGTAACATACCTTTGTTAGGTGTTTTTTTTCCCCTGAGAAGTTTAATAAGTATGATCTATAAGATACAACATTGTGTGCCTTTAATTTACAAAAATGAAATTGTCAGAAGATAGAGTTCACCTTTTCTTGTCAACGAACTCTATAAATTATTTTGCAAATTATACCCTCATGTAACACTATTTAAAAAAAATTGTAAGACTGAAAGGAGCCACAGAAAGTTTGTGGTTTACTGTTTCACTCTTGTTGAATATTTCAATCAAGTGATCATTTCCTCCCCCACACCTTTTTCTTTCCCTTAATCTTGGGTATAGTTCAGTGATTAAGCACTTGTCTAGCATGTGAGAGGTCCTGGTTTTGACTGCCAGCACTGGGCGTGGGGCACAGGAGTTGAAATGAACTGATAATATAGAAAGTAGAAAACTTACTGTTCTGGGTTCATTTTTAGACATGTCTAATATCCAATAAGTTATTTTGAGTATAAAGTCAAAATCTGTTTCCATGTAGTTTTGGTCCTAGTTCTGAATCTTGGTTTCATATGACATCTCTTGTGATAAAGATAGCTATCACATCCCCTGAGTATTATCTTCTCTTGGGTAAACAGCTCTATTTCCTGCTGGGTCTGAAATGACATTGTATTTTAAATCCTATTTAAACTTTTAAAACATCTTATTAAAAACATACTACTAAAACATCCTATTAAAATAGTATTTAAATCCTGTGGCTCTAGCCGGGTGCCAGTGGCTCACACCTGTAATCCTATCTACTCGGGAGGCTGAGATCTGAGGATCACGGTTCAAAGCCAGCCCAGGCAGGAAAGTCCGGGAGACTCTTATCTCCAATAAGACCACTAGAAAACCGGAAGTGGCACTGTGGCTCAAGCAGTAGAGTGCTTGCCTTGAGCTGAAGAGCATAGGGACAGCACCCAAGCCCAGACAGAGTTCAAGCCCCACAATCCACCAAAAAATTAAAAAAAAAATAAAATAAATCCTGTGGCTCAAATGGGTGAGTGCTAGCCTTGAGCAAAAGAAGCTTAGGGACAGAGCCCAGGCCCTATGTTCAAGCCTCAGGACTAGCCAAACAACAACAAAAACTCCCCTATTTTGACAGATTATCTCTTTTAGACAGTACTTAATCAGTTTTCCCCTCCTTTCCTTTTTCCTTCCTTAATTTGTTTGTTTGAGATAGGTCTTCCTATGTTCTCCAATGCTGGCTTCGAACTCAAAATCCTCCCTCTGCATCCCAAGTAGCTGGGATTATAGGCAAGCAAAACCATCCCTAGCTTATGAATTTAAGATTCCTTGAACTGTATGATTCTGGTTTTGTCTTAGATGAGAAGTGAACTTCTCTTGACAACACTTTTCTACCACTGAAGTAGAAAAGATTGTATGAGAGTTTGGGGCAGCTGTCACATTAACTAATACTGAGGTTGCTGTCCCCTATAATTTATTCATCTTAATTGTTTCAAAAAGAGGATTATAAGCTGGGCTTTAGTGGCTCACACCTGTAATCCTAGCCACTCAGGAGGCTGAGATCCGAGGATTGTTGTTCAAACCAGCCCAGGTAGAAAAGCCCAAGCGACTCTTATCTCCAGTTAACCACCAGAAAACTGGAAGTGGTGCTGTGGCTCAAGTGGTAGAGCACTTGCCTTGAGCTGAAGAGCTGAGGGACAGTGCCCAGGCCCAGAGTTCAAGCCCCATCACCAACCCCCCCCCCCAAAAAAAAAAAAGAGGATTATATCCTTCAGATACTCTTGAATTTTTTTTTTCCTTTTCTTTTTTTGGGTCCGGTTGTAGGGCCTGAACTCTGGGCCTGGGCGCTGTCCTTCAGCTCTTCAGCTCAAGGCTAGTGCTCTACCACGTGAGCCACAGCGCCACTTCCGGCTTTTTTTCTTTTTGCTTATGTGGTGCTGGGGAATCGAACCCAGGGCCTCATGCATGCAAGGCAAGCGCTCTAACACTGAGCCACCTTCCCAGCCCACTCTTGAACTTTTGTAATAAAGGTTTTTTTGTTTTGCTTTGTTTTGTTCTCCAGTGTACTTGACCTGGTAAGTTGGCTTTGATTTGTTCCACTGTTTAAAGCCATACAGAATCTTAATTCTGTAATTTATAGAACATTGATTGTGCTGCTATGAGCCAGAAACAGGGTTGGGTGAAAAGAACCTGCTATATAGACTGGTTATATTTTCACTTTGTCACCTGAAGATTTGGGAACAATGTTTTCAGTGTTCGCAGTTATTAATGGAGTGTTCTATATATTAGTAATAATGGATGCAGAAAATCATTTAAGACCAATCTTTATGGGTTACTACCTAGTGGACCAAAAGCCTCAGTGATATTAAAATATTTTTTACAACATCAACATTTTGCTGTAAGTTCATCGTCTTGCCCACAAAGATTATCCTGAGATGCTTTGTCAGATGTTTGCAGGGGACACGATAAACAGTTTCTGCAGTACCCAGATTATATAATGTGCTAGGAAGAGAGAGGGCTTTGAAGTTAATCTTGGTTTTTAATTTTGGATCTTTCATAACCATCCCAATCTTGACTATATCTATCAAGTGGAAATGCTTCACTCATAGGTCCTGTATGTGGATTATATAGTCAGCCAATCCTGTAAAACCGCTAGCACTATGCTAAGATAACACATTTATTTGCTTTTAGTACTGAGGATCAAACCCATGTTTTTATATGTCTTAGGCAAGTACCCTACCATTAAGCTACATTCCTGCACCATGTGTTTGATAAATGTTTGCTACTAATGGAATAAGATAGACTGCCCCTCTCTCCCTCCCTTCTTTTCTCCCCCCCATATATACATATATGAAATATATATGTATATATACATGATATGATAATGAGTTTAATATGACTTGAATTATTTTGAGAACCCATGTTGTCTCTGAGGAATTTTTAAAAATGTGTACAGTAAGACATGAATTTTGGCTGGGGGTATGTGGTTCAGGTGATAGTATAGCCCCAGTTGTCAAAATACAGTTGGGAAAATACAGAGTAAAGAAGAAAAGTTCAGTTTGTGGGGGTTCCCCCCCCCCCCAATCAGGCTGGTGGTACATGTCTGTAATCCCAGCACTCTAGAGCATGAGGTAGAAAGATCATCATTTTCAAGATAGCCTGAGATACATAAAGAGACCCTGTCTCAAAAACAAAACAATTGGGCTGGGAAGGTGGCTCAGTGGTAGAGTGCTTGCCTTGCATGCATGAGGCCCTAGGTT